TTCAAAGGAGCTTTTGATAATGCTTGGTGGCCATCTATCTTAAAAATTTTAAAAGATGCTGGTATACCACATAATATCTATAACCTTCTTAAAAGCTTCTCGAACGAGAGGACTGGTGAGCTTCAGCTTGGGAACGAAGCTAAGGTTTATTCTCTAGAAAAAGGCTGTCCTTAAGGCTCTGTATCCGAACCTACTCTTTGGAACATAATCATAAATGATCTTTTAAGTCATCTCGACGGTTGTTTAAAAATTGCGTTTGCAGATGACTTACTATTAATTTTCCAAGGAAGGATTTTGAATAACACTCTTTTGAGAGCACAAGAAGTTCTAGATTTTATCTCCAGTTGGGCGATTTCTCATAAACTCACTTTCAATCCTTCAAAAAGTAAAGCTATGCTTGTTCTCAGTACGTTTGATGAACAAAATATTGCTTCTTTGATGCTCGATAATTCTCCGTTGGAATTTGTAGAAAATGTTATATATCTTGGTGTCATTCTTGACCAAAAATTAACATGGAAAAAGCACATTGAATTCCTTTCTGCTAAATGTGAAAAAATTATTAATGGCTTTCACCGAATTGCTAAAAATACTTTTGGAGTAAGCTACGATGTTAAGAAACTCATGTATAAGCAGTGTATTGTACCTTTCATTTCGTACGGCTGTCGTGCTTGGGGACATGTTCTTGCCAAGAAGGTTAACAAAAGAAATTTAAGAAAGATTCAACGTAGAATTCTTCTTCGTATTATTAGTGGTTATAGAACCTTAAGCTATGAGGCTACTTTTGTTCTTGCAGGAGTTCCGCATATTGATTTTGAAATTGCATATAAGAATAATATTTTTGAGTCATTGGCAACTCATGCTTCGGAAGACTGTATTAATGGAATTGTCCCCTTCACTGATCTTCCTCATCCCGCTTCTTTAGAACGCATAAATTTCTGTGATTATAAAGAGACTGCTGAAATAAGTTTTCATATGGTTTTCTTTACAGATGGCAGCAAGAACAACAAGGTTGGCCTTGCATTTGTTCTTTTTGAAGGCCATTCCGAGATTTGTTTTCTTAAACACCGTTTACGGAATGAATGTACAGTTTTTCAAGCAGAACTTCTGTGCATTTATCTTGCCGTCAAATGGATCCAGGATCATGGGACTACATCCTCAAAGTACCTTATTTGTTCTAATTCTCTTTCTTCTCTTCAACTTTTGAACAGTATTACCAGCTGCGATAAATTAGTTATCGAAACCCTAATAACTGTTAGTTCACTTAGAATTAGAGGTATTGATATCTGCTTTGCTTATGTGCGTGCTCATCATGGTTTCTACGGAAATGAAAGAGCTGATTTCTTAGCTAAACATGCCTTAAATTTACCCATTGATATCAACATTAGCATTCCAAACAGTTATTGGAAGTCCTTTCATTATAAAAAGCTTTTAGCTATATGGACATTTCATCTTGTAATGCTGAAGTTACCAAAAAGTTCTTTCCTTCTATTTACCATAGACTGACTTCAGAGTCTTTCCTCTCGTTAAATTGTAAAGTGTCTCAGTTTTTATCTGGTCACGGTAAATTTGCAAGTTATCTGTTTCGTTTTAATCTACGATCAAACAATTTATGTGAATGTTCAAAAAGAGTTCCTCAGGATGTGAAACATTTGATTTTCGTGCCCTACATTTGATGGCCCTAGATTATGCTTACAGAACGATCTGAAAATGTTCGGAGTGACTTGGCCAGTGAACTTATCTGTTTTCGTGAAGTCCAGACTGCTGTTCTCTGCTTTTGTTCACTTTATTTATACATGTAACTTTTAATGTTTATTTATACATGTAACCTTTAATGTTCTAGTTAACTTACTCCTGTAAGCCCCGTGATGTACATATGTGGTGCACGGGGAGTCTGTATGTTCTCAAAGGAAAAAAAAAAATTCAATTTAAAGAATTTTTGCAAGATGGTATTATCATTTTCTTCTAATTTATAAATTTAAAATTTTTGTTGTATACATATATATTTTGGGGGGTTGTATTTTATACATTTCTTTAATTCTTCTGGTTAATTTTACATATTTACAAGGAATTTTGAAAATTAATATATTAAGTTTCACTTCTTTCGGGTCTGCGAAATTGGTTCTAAATTTCTTATTGTCTTTGCTAATTATATATGTACACATATGATGTATCTCCCAAAATTTACATTTATCTTCAGGAAATTATTATGAAAATGAAAAATATTATACTGCAAAAGATTTAATACCTACAGGAGATATGCCAAACTCAAAAAATCAAAGAATTTTGTCATGGGCAAAGTAACTAACCCTTTACTTTTCATGCAAAAATTATACATTTTCCCCCCTTACTATGTATTTTTAATTAGTGCAACAAGACATACAATTCTTTTTCCAAAGATCATACAATTCTTTTTCCAAAATTTTTGTATTTTTAAATGTTTTTATGATGCAAAATAAATGGTAAGTAATTATCCTGAGTTAACTTGTTAGTGTACTTTAGTTAAGAATAAATATAAAAAATAATTAGTCTTCATGAACCTTGAATCATGAGTTAACTCAGAATAACTAACAAGTAGTTAAACAGCAGAAAATTCTTTCTAAGTAACAAACTATATATACTACCTAATTAATGTCTTCACATTTTATATGCAATTGGTACAAAAATATACATATAAATAAAAATTTAAAAAAATTAAAATTAAATATGTTTTAAACAAAAATTATAGTTTAATTCATTTTCATTTTCATACATTTGTTAATAAAGTTAGCAAATTTTGCTTTCTTTAAGAAAGGTACATTATAATTTTGCTTATAACAATAGCCATATATGCAATTTTTTTTTCTAGTAAAAGTTTAGAACAAGCTAAAGACAGGTGGCATGTGCATGTATGTTTCATAATTTCTTTATCCCAGTATTATTTACTTGTCGAAACTGCTTCTCCCTTTTAAAATTCTTTTCAATACAGTATAAACATCAGCAATGAATTCTTCTGTATTTATTGTAACCAATAAATAAAAATAAATTCACTGTAGCATCTTTAATGGCTGCTTAATTTTAAATGATGACTTTTTAAATGCCTGCAATACCTGTCTTCAATACTACTATCATGGTGCATTGCCACATCGAGCTAAAACAGTTATCCAAAGAAAACTATTTTCCGTCAAAGTTCTAATAATTAACTATGCTGTGTAAAAGCCTGAAGAATCTCCTTCTAAAAGTAAATTATATTCAATTTCTGTACTATGCAAAATACTATATTCAAACTATACTACAAAGTAAATTATATTCGATTTCTGCAGCGACAGATTTAAAAAAGCAACAACTGGCGAGAATTTTACACTTGTATTATTACTCTCTTCCATACACAGGCAGAAAGAAATAACTGAAGATTTATTTTTTACACCTATTTCTTCAACAACTGCAATCACTTTTTGTTCTTGCAATGAATAGATTTTGCTGGCACCAAATAATTTTCTAAATATACCTCCAGTGAGATCAGAGGCATTCAATGAGAAATACAGCTCAATGAAATCAGAAAATTGCGATTCTACATAAATAAAGTTTTGGTCCTTTGTTTCTAGCAAAAAATTCAAATTTTTTTACAACTTATACTGTCCTTGTGTTTTTGTATATATGAACAAGTTTATTACACCAGCTCTTTCACTACCAATATTAAGAAAACTGCAATGACATCATAATATACACTGCAAATGTATTACATTTTCTTGATAAATATGCAAGGAAACTATCTGTATATGTTTTTTTTAATACATGAATTTTATCATAGACATAACTAAGACAAAAGATTGCAAATGCTTAGATAACTTCAAAAATTACATGAACCTCACACTGTTAATCAACTCCAGAAATGTAGAGAACAGTTTTGATCTTGCTTTGTGTTCATTTGCTGATGTATGCCAGACGATCAGCAGCTATGAAAAACTGAATCATAAAATTTTAAGACACACCTGAGAGCATAGGAGCAATGGCTGCAGAAACCTTTTTTTTTAAAAAAATGGATAGTCAAAAGAATAAGCACACAATTTCAGATACCAGAAAACATGTTTTTGCATGCAAATAATAAAATATTTAGCCAAACTAATAAAAATTGTGAGAAATTTTAGGAATAAGAGAAAGTTGGGACAAGTATGTTATCGGGTTAGTGAGATGCAGTCAAAAATAAAAAGAGGAGGCAAAATATGCACATAGCATTCTAAAAAACCTCAAAATAAAATATAAAGTACTATGTACAGTTGAATTCATAGTTGAATAATACAAATAGTTGAATCTTTAACACTATGTTGCCATTAATGGCTGGAGAAATTGTGTAACTGGAAATGATATGATAAGACATTTTCAAAATGAAACATTTTTTCTTTGACTATTGTTAGATACGTTTTTCCAAACTGATGTTTTCAGCTGGTCCAAAAGTGTTGCATAATAATGGCCAGTCTTTCTTTAATTTGCGTTTAATTATTCTACCTTTTTAAACCTGAACCGAATGACTTTTCCTAAAATCTACACTTGAGCAGATGCCTGTTCTACTCAATAAACAACTTTTGAGAAAAAATTAACAAAATACTAGAAAACACCACTCGCAACCTTACAGTAATTGCAATACATACATATACCCTTCACTCCCATAAATGTTTTTCTTCTAAAATTTTTCACATGATGGATTTTCATCATCATTTACAGTAAATACTCTCAAATAGATTACAGTAATTGAGAGAATTGCATACATTCTTCAACTATATTTTAAAACTATGTTTGAATTTTTTTCTTATAAAATAACTTAGTAGTATTTAAAAAATAGAAAAGGTGAAGGTACAAAACACTAAAACTACACTGAAATCTGTCAAAAACACATAAAAGTTAGCAATAAAAGTACAGTTTGCTCAATCATTACAGCAATACACATCAAGTACTGTTCCAATCATTTCTGTCAAGACTATTGAAAACACATGAAAGAATTAAAAAAAAAAAAAAAATGCAATTACATCAGCTGTTTCGGAGGAAGATGGCTCTTCAGAAACATTTTCTTTATTGGAAGATGAAGGAGCAGGAGATTCTGAAGATGATGGCACAGCCACATTGCTCTTCTTTTTAACAGCACTTTTTTCAAATACCTAAAAGAATGTTAATACTTAAGAGCTGCTTTATTTTTATGGAAACTTAATAATACAGCTTTGAAGCTGATCAAAATAACAAGTTCTAACTTCCTGAAAATTCTCAGTTCTTCTTAAAACTATTAACATGTTAATATAATTGTACAAATTTGTGATGACTTGACATGAAGTAATTTTTATGTTTAATTTTTAATCATCTATCTAACAGAAATCAGGGTTGGCAAGTTATTTCCACAGCAGGCAGAACCATACCACAGACTGTCAGGAAGAAATAGGTTTCTTTTTTTAAAAAGGGAAGGAAAGGAAGAAACTAATTTTTTGATTTATTTCATGATTATATTATTTTATCTATAGTTTAGCATTTGTATTACCAAATATATTTTTTATTTATAATTTAAGAAACCTCATTTGCATAATTGCAGTAACCTTTTTGGCAATATATATGTAATGAAAAAGACAGTAAGTATTGATGGTGTAGAAAAATTGATTTGTCACAGCAAAAAGTTTCCCTGTATCAGGATGAAATTATCGCTCCATTCTTCAAAAAGAAATGTATCAACAAAATGGATGCATGGATCTTCAAAGAAATTAGTCAATAAATTTTACACTCAAGCCATTCTGTTTAACTTTTTGTCACGCTAAACATTTATTTTGCATCTTAATAATATTTTGACAATCTATTCCAATCCTCACTTACATAAGATGCTTAATGGCCAAATCTAGAAATGGAAAGGGGGAAAAAAAATTCTATCATTCTTTTACTGTCCTATACCAATGCTTAAAAATTGGATCCCAGTGCTTTTAAGGAGATGTTCAATGTTAGATATAAATTAACACAGATGCCATCAAATGAAATAAACTGCTTTTCAGTAACATGAAACTGATAAAAGTGCTATGAGTTTTCAGCTTAGCATGATGCCTTCCATTTAAAGTTTTATAACTTTGATTAAGCAATTTTGAAAAGCATATTAATTGTTGTTTAAAAATAAGTAAAATGTAACAAGATTTTCTTTTCTTTAAATGATTTTGCAGTTATAAAATACGTAATTACATTTTAATCTTGTTACTTTGGTAATAGTATATGCTACATATATTTTATATCTTTGAAGTAATTTATTCATCTGGTACAGCAGTTAAAATATTTTGTATTGTAACTGAATTGCAAATTGATAATTTTTTATCATACTGAAATATACAGCACTTTTATGAAAATGAAAGTTTTATGGTATTAGTAATATACATATTTAAATAAATATTTTTAAATTATTTAAATAAAGAATTTTAATATTTTTTTCAGAGAAGCTTATTCAATTGTAATGAAAATAAGCATTAGATGAAGAAAGATTTCTGGTAGTTTTCCTGTGTGGAGTTGTTCCTGAAAATGAGATATTTAGGAGAACACACAGTTGACATCTTTGACTGATGACTAGGTGGTAATGGCATAACTGCACAGTAGAAGAATGAATGATCAGCAGAAAAACCTGCTGTGAGTTAACACATAATTAATTTTTTAGCATTTGTGAAAGATATTTTTTCCACATACATTATAGTGGTGAGAAAGCATGCCAGAATTTATCTATGATATATTACATTTATGAAACAATAGATGAAACCTAGCAGGGGCCAGACAATATTAGGACCACCAGGAAAAAAAGGCAAACAAAAGGAGGAAGATTGGGCAGCAAATACCTTTTATACACATTACCTTCCCCAACAAAGAACTTTTAATACCTTTTATACCCATTATCATATTACAAGAATTTTACATTAAGGGAATTAAATTTCAGATACATAACAGATGCTGGTTTAAGATTTCCTTGCATTCCAGGAATAATTGTGCAACAAAGATCAGATGACAGATACCTTTTCAGAATTACAGTAAGTAATGATTATATTAGAAAAGTTATTTTTTTGCTATTTTTAGAATAAAGAGGAGAGTGGAATTAAAGAGCTATTGTTAACTGATTATTAGGCAGATATTTTATACATATATATAATTCAGGATAAAATTAAAAAAATGCATTTAAAATTCATCTCATATTCAGTTCGAAACCACATGTTAGAAACCAGAAAACAGAAGCACAGCAACCAACTGCAAGAAATAGGGCAGGGTGGATAAGCCAAACCAAAAACAAAAATGAAATTTACATTTTTCACTGCATTGTCATCAGAAGGTTGGTGCAATAAAAGGAGTAAAAAAAAATTGGGGGGGGGGCCTGTTTCTAAACTGACAAAATCACAAATTAAAATTTTAAAATAATCTTAGAAAAACAATCAAAGTAATCTGTGACTATCAGTCTAACTCCTACAGGCCTAACTTGAGCAGCATCAAAAATGCTTAAAAAATATAGACAAATTCAAGAACATTGCAAAATAATAGACAAAGAAAATATTCAGTCAGTCAATAAAATCCTGCACATTTTTGGTAAATTTTTAAATAATATAAAAACCTAACAACATATAACAATTTAACATTTTAATCAATTAATTACATATTTTCCTCCATTATCTACAATGTCTTGCCATCTTACAGGCAGCTTTTTTATGCCATTGCTGTACAAAGACTCTTGTTTTGATGAAGAAAAACTTGAAAGTTCGTGGTTTATAAATATGTCCAATCAGTCCATAAATTCGTGCGCATTTTTTCGTAAATTTTTAAATAATATAAAAAAAACACAATTTAAAATTTTAATCAATTATGTATTTTCCTCCATTATCTACAATGTCTCATCATCTTAGAGGCAACTTTTTTATGCCATTGCTGTAGAAAGACTCTGGTTTTGATGCAAAAAAACTTAAAGTTTTATTTAAAAAGTTTATTAAGTACATCCTTAAAAAATTTTGTAACGTACGAAATAAGTGAAAATCACTTGCAGCAATATCTGGGGAGTAAGCAGGATGTGGCAAAATTTTTTGCAGCATTGTTCGAGCCGTATGCAGTCTAGCATTATCATGATGAAACAACACTTTCTTGATACTCACCAATCGAGGGCGTTTTTTGATCAATTCTGAGTTTAAACGGCAATGTTGTTGTTCACTATAAACTTCTGAATTAATCGTTTGTTTTGGTTCTAACACTTCAAAACGTCCTAAAACGGGGTTTATCATCAATGCTACTTTTTCCAACTTTAAATTTTTTAAACCATTTCTGGGCAGTCCTTACACTAATAGTGTGTTTACCGTGTAGATATTAATTTTTATTGCTGCAAACCTGACAGATTCACCACACGAAAATAAAAAATGTAGCACAGCATGTTTGTACTGATTATCTATATTCACCTTCTATGGGTACTAAAATATGTTCGATATTTACGAAAGTTAGTGATGAACTGAATAATATGTTACTCAAACGATGACAAATTTCAACATTGAAAATTGCATTGTTTTAGTAAATGCGTCATAGTGAATTTCAAGCATACTCTTAATGCGCACAAACTTATGGACTGACCCGATACTTCTAGAAGATCGAGTTCAAAAAGCAAAACTTGCAAAAATAATAACCCAATACTTGAAAAAGCGATTATCTTGTAACTTCAAGAAAGAGATATTTTTCACAAATAAAGAACAGCATTAGAATCACTGCCTTATGAAATTTAAATGTAATTTGCAGCTTAAATCGCTATGCAGCCTTTGTTCAGCCTGGAAGTAAAAAGGCGTTCCAAATATACATATGGTTTGTTGGATCATGCATTCCTTTCATTACTCCCATACGTAATTTACCTATCACATCGGGAATTATCTTCTATTTAGTTTTGTGAATCAGAACTTGATTCAATACTTACTTAGTTTCCATCAGTTGAGAATGTTGGCTACCGTCAAACCATGAAATTCGACAGTGATCCTCCCAAAGTAATGCTACTGTTCCTGTAGAATTCAGAGCTGGACTTCTATCTGCAATTCTTATAAAGCACTCATCAGTCTCTCTGCACTCATCAAACAGCCACTGCTGTGAATGAATTCGACTCACTTCATAAAAAGGCTTTTTGTCAATTTCTACTGTTTTATTAGGCTCTCTGAATTTTATCAGGAGCTCTACTCAGAATGCAGTGAGTACAAACTTCCTATACAGTCGGACCATATTATAATTAAACAGACGTTAATTCAGGATTCAGCTGCAAATGAACTGAAGTACAGTCACAAATCTAGTTTTATAGATTTTGAACTAATTTTTTACTTCAAAAATGCAAGAAAAAATACAGCATTAAGAGTTAATTTATATTTTAGTTCATGAAAACAAAAGGTAGCTCATTCAGAATTACATGAAAGGAAAGCAGAGATGTTATATGTGCTGTGATGTCATGCTTATTCATTAATTGGCACTAAAGCACACTTCCTGGAGACAGTTTCACAGTTGATGGAATAATATAAAAATACCTTTTATTCAAATGACTCACCATGCAATAGTTAATTGGAATAATTACATGAAAGGAATATGTGCTAATTTATTTTATATCATCCAAACATTTAACTGATGGGCATTACAAAACTGTGAAAATTTACGGAAGTCTATTCACAAAAAAGGGGATGGAAGGCAGGCCATAATTTTATCCTAGTCTGAATTTTTGGAGGATTTTGTAGTGAAATCTGAGGCTTCTCTAGCTGCTCTTCTTGACCTTTTAGTTTTGTCTAGTTTCAAGACAAAAGCATGGGGGGGGGGAAATAAGCCCAATTGTGCTAATATGATGCCAAAAAAACATGGTATAGCTTTACTAGAAAAGTACCAAAGCATGTTATTGAAATGTATACATTCAAAATAAGATCCATTTACAAGAAATGAGCTCTGTCGATAGATTATTTAAAAACAAATACATAACAATCCAATAATATTTTTTCATACATTTCATAGCAAAAAAGGAAAATAATATTTTTATACTACTTAGTTTATGTTCGCGCCTGCGCACCTGTAATGTAATACGCGCATGCGCATCTAATGTAATACGCGCATGCATTATGTTCAGACGAGTTTGAGAATTGCCACCAACGGTGTACGAGGGCTGGTC